ATATTTTATTCTACTTTCTTCTTGCTTGCATTCTTTCTTACAAGAATTCTGCTGTCATTCTGTCCTTGATCTTCTGTAAGTCCCCTGTTGTTGTTGTTGTTTTCTCCTTCCCAGCCTGGCATCTTTTAAGATTTTTAAAATGTTTTTATTTTCTGCTGCTTAGAGTGCTTGGATATTCTGTCTGTCTTTTCATTCTTTGCATTTCTGTGTGGAAAATTCCTATCATCCTATCTTCAGATTCACTGATTATTTCCTCAACCACATCAAGTCTACTCATGAACATTCATAAGGCATCTTTCATTTCTGTTGCAGTTGCATTCAAGCATTTACTCTTTATTATTTCTTTTTTTTAGAGAGAGAGAGAGAGAGAGAGAGAGAGAGAGAGAGAGAGAGAGAGAGAGAAGAGAATTTTTTTAATATTTATTTTTTTAGTATTTGGCAGTCACAACATCTTTGTTTGTATGTGGTGCTGAGGATTGAACCCGGGCCGCACGCATGCCAGGCAAGTGCGCTACCACTTGAGCCACATCCCCAGCCCTCTTTATTATTTCATAAAGTCTGTTTATCTCTGCTCACAATGATCATCTGTTCTTGTTTTTGCCACTTTTCCATTAGTCTTTAACATATTAATTATAGTTATTTTACTTTTTTTTTGGTACTGAAGATTGAACCCAGGGGCACTTAACCACTGAGCCAAATCCTCAATCCTTTTGTTGTATTTAATTTAGAGACAGGATCTCATTGAGTTTCTTAGCTCCTCTATAAGTTGCAGAGGCTGGCTTTGAATTCATGATCCTCCTGCCTCAGACTCCTGAGCTACTGGGATTATAGGGGTGTACCACCATGCCTGGTAACTCTAACATCTGCATCACACATCTAAGTCATTCTAATCATTGCTTTGTCTCTTCAAACTGTATTTTTTCTTTCTTCTGGACTTTTTATAAACCTTGCACTTTTTTGGGGGGGTTAAGCCTAACATAATTTATTGGGTAATAGGAAATGAGGTAAAATTTAGTGGAAGGATTCATATTAATTTGGCTAGGAGTTAGGCTGTGTTTAGTTTGTTGTGTCTAACAATGCCAAAGTCTTCATATTCCTCTAGTGACCTTGTATTTTTTTTCTCCCTTATTGTTTTGGAGTTTCCCTACATATTCTTTCTCAGAGAAATTCTGTGTCTTATATCTCCATTAGCTGTTATTATAGGAACTTTGCTGGACTTGTGGTAAGTTATAGGGGACAAGGAATGTTCTATAATGTTCTGATTAAATATTAGTATTGTGTGTGTGTGTGTGTGTGTGTGTGTGTGTTTTGGTCTTTTTTAGTACTACCAGGGCTTGAACCCAGGGGCACTTAACAACTGAGCCACATCCCCAGCCCTTTTAATTTTTTATTTAGAGACAGGGTTTTGCTAAGTTGCTTGGAGCTTCACTAATTTGCTAAGGCTGGCTTTGAACTTTAATCCCCCTGCCTCAGCCTCCCGAGCTGCTAGAATTACAGGCGTGGCCACCATACCCCTCAAGGTTAGTGTTTTCATAGGCTTGTGTCTTGGGCTGTAAACTTCCCACAAGTTTCTCCAGTAATATCACTTTTTTTTTTCCACTTCTGTTCCTCTTTCCCTACCTGCAATTAATTTCCTCTCAGTACTTATTCCGTTGAATAAGTTTATTTTTACATTATGTCAAATGAGAAGGCTGGAGAGGGCCAGAGTGAGAATTCTGTTATCCAGTTTGGATGAAGTTCTGGTAAAATACTTTCCCTTGGAGAGTAGGCCTTTGTTATGAAGAAAGCTCTGGGCGTATTTCGCAATGGTTATTCCTCATCTTCCCAGCCAATGCCATAAGGGGATGAGGGGATATTCCTTAAATTTTCACTGTGGAAACCTAGTGGGGTTCCTTGAAGTAAAGCCCATAAATGTGGGATCTCCTCTCCGCCTTTATTCCCCAGGGGTTTCTTCCCCTCAACTAGCCCAGCAATTTGTCAGCATTATCATGTGCACAATCTTATCAGTTTATAGCTCCAGAAGCTTCTGCCCTGGTAAGCAGATCTTAACAGATCTGGAAATTACCAGATACTCCCCAGGTGTCTATTTTCTTGAGTTCTGGTAAGGACCAGATCTTACCAGAAATAATAATGTATTCATAGGGAATCACATATGTTTATTTGTGCCTTGATCAAAGAATAAAAGGTTAAAAGATATCATGGAAGTGTTCTTTTTCTCTCTCTCTCTTTTCCTCTCTCCCTTTCTTCCCCCAATTCACAGTGTTATGCCAGATTCGTGGGACCCCAATAGGCCTCCAGGAGCCGAATCCGATGCAATCACACAAGAGTCTTTATTGCAAGCTCGAGCCTGGACTCACAACCGTTCCCGATGCATTGGTCCCAGGGAATGAGTCCCGTCAGTGAGATTTTATAGGTTTTGGGGGGATACTCTATGTGTCACAGCATCACACAGCAAATCATTCCATACCGAGGAAAAGTCAAACAAAACTCTTAACATTGATTAGCACATTCACTGGCGGGAACAAGTTGGGTAGGGGTGATTGGTTAGTACAAGAGGGGGATTCCTTTGAACTGATTGGTTTAGGCCATGAGGGGTGTTCATGCTGAACTACATGTTTTCTCAACATGTTATCAACCATAAACTACTGGGGGGTCATCTGGCATCCCAGATATTTTCCCTGTCTCATGCTGATTGGTGGTTGCTAGGGGAGTTGCTATGGGTCCTCACCTAGCCTAACTGAGTCAGGGACACCTGGCGCTGCAGATCTCTCCTGTTATTTTTAGATAGACAACTTAGCAGGGTGGGTATGTGCCTAGGAATGCTCTGTGGGTCTTTCCAAGGACAAGGGTCACAGTCCCTTCCTTGGTTTTGCTCTGAGGTAGAGGCTGGTTTCTCAAAAATAGAGTTACATTAGTTTCTCAACAGTAGATACAGAGGGCTGGGGATGTGGCTCAAGCAGTAGTGCGCTCGCCTGGCATGCTGTGCAGCCTGGGTTTGATCCTCAGCACCACATACCAACAAAGATGTTGTGTCTGCTGAAAACTAAAAAATAAATAAAAAATTCTCTCTCTCCATTAAAAAATAAAAAAACAGTAGATACATAGTCTTACCATTTTTTGCTTCAGCCATGAAACATAATATAGAAAACCCAGATGGAGGAAAGTCCCCTATCTATCTATATCTTTATCTATCTATCTATCTATATCTTTATCTATTTTTACTTATCTATCTATCTATATCTTTATCTATCTCTATATTTGCTACTGAAGATTGAATTCAGGGACACTTAACCACCAAGCTACATCTCCTGCCCCTTTTTTCTATTTCATTTAGATACAGGGTCTCATGGAGTTGCTTAGTGCCTTGATAAATTGCTGAGGCTAATTTTGAACTCATGATCTTCCTGCCTCAGCCTCCTGAACTTCTGGGATTACAGGCGTGTGCCACTTTGCCCAGCTATTTATATTTTTACTCTTTGCAGTATTTGTTTTTCTGTTCTGGTGTTACAAATTCTCCTTTTACCATTTTTCTTTCTGTTTAAAGAACTTCCTTTAAACAATGGTACACACGGTAATCCTAGCCTTTTGTTTTTTGGTTTGGTGGATTGAACTCAAGGGTACTCAACCCCTGAGCTACATCTCCAGCCCTATTTTGTATTTTATTTAGAGACAGGGTCTCACTCAGTGAGTGTGGGTTAGCAGCTCACTTTCTCTGAAGCTGGCTTTATCCTCCTGCTTCAGTCTCCTGAGCCCCTGGGATTACAGGCATGTGCCATTGGCCCCGCTAGCCCAGCCAACTCAGCCACTCCAGCCATTTTTGAGACTGAGGCAGGAGGATTACCTGATCTGTAGCTAGAATTAGAGGTGTGCACTAATTATAATTATAATATAATTATAAAGATCCTTTCTCAAGGGTCTTTCTTTTTTGTTTTTCTTTAAATTTATTTTTTCCATACCTTTTTATTGGTAAATTATGGTTATATATATATATTGGTGGGATTTGTTGTTACATATTTGTACATTTATACAAATAACAATATAATTTGACCAGTATCATTCCCCAATATGTCCCATTTCCCTCCATTCCTTCCTCCCCCTGGTCTTTTTTTTTTTCCTATTCTACTGATTTCACTCAGATTTTCATGAGTTCCCCTCACCCAACACACACAACTTTCTTTTCCTTTTCCTCTCTGGCTTCCACATATGAGAGAAAACATATGACCCTTGACTTTTTGTGGGGAGGGAGCAATGGGGACCCAGGGGCACTTAACAACTGAGCCACATTCTCAGCTCCTTTTTATATTTTACTTTGAGATGGGATTTTGTTAAATTGCTGAGTCTATCTTTGAACTTTGGATCCTCTTGCCTCAGCCTCTTGAGTCGCTGGGATTACAGGTGTGTCTAAGTATCCATTTTTAAAATACCATTTTGTTCTGTGAGATGAGCAGACAAATGCTCGGAAAGGCTGAGTAATTCTCATAATCCCACAGTTTGCCCATAAGATTCCCATGAGATATGACAGGAAAAGATAACCTAAAATTAATGAATGGAGACTAACTTTTCATTTATGTTTTGTAAGACAAGGGATTAAACTCAGGACCTCATTCATGCAAGACAAGAGCTCTACCACTGAGCTGTATCCTCAGCCCCTAACCAAGTTTTTGAGTCTGTCCTGGCTGTAAGAATCATCTTCATCTCAGTCGAGTGCAGTTGAAACTTCTTATCTCTTATCTCTTAACTCTTATCTCTCCTGATTCCACGTAAGTGTGGCCCCACACTCTGGCAGGGGACACACAGCTCAACCGGAATACCGGCTTCAGCCGGTGATGGAAGTGGCTCTACAGGGGATGGAGGACTCGGGGCGGGAGCTGCAGCACTCCACTCAGGGACAGCAGGAACAGGGGAGGGGGCGGAAACAGCCCCGCCCCCGCCCCTTCATCCACTCCCATTGGCCAAGGGCTTCCTGGCCCCATCCCACCTCCCGCCTCCCGGGCCAAGCTTAAAGTGTGCGGAGCAGGTGCCTCGGGTGCAGTTACAACTTTGAGTCAGAGTTGGGGTTGACTGCTGCACTCATTCATTGCCTCCGAGCTGTATCTTCTGTCCCTCCGTAATCCCACGGGAAGGGGCTCCAGGCCAGACGCAGCTGCCACCCGGGGACTGAGGCCAGAGGAGGGAGCCCAGAGTTTCGCTGACCCTCCCGGGCTGGGGAGGAGACGGCGACTGAGTCCATGCAGTCGTGTGCCAAGGCATGGGGGCTGCGCCTGGGATGTGGAGTCGGGGGCGGCCGCCGTCTGGCTGGGGGCGCGGGCCCCAGTTGGGCGCCGCGGAGCCGGGACAGCAGTAGCGGCGGTGGGGACAGCGGCGCGCCTGGGGCCTCGCGCCTCCTCGAGCGCTTCCTGCCCAGACACGACGACTTTGCTCGGAGACATATCGGCCCTGGGGACAAAGACCAGAGAGAGATGCTACAGGCCCTGGGGCTGGCGGTAAGGACCTCCATCTGGCCCTTGGGCCTCTGCTCCGCTCGGCCCGGATTCTGCCCCCCCCCCCAATTTAGGGGCTCCAGCCCTAAACTCTGCTGCCCTCCGCGTGGGAGCCCTGGCCTGAGCCCCCGGCCTGAGCTCACGCATTTGATCTTCCACAGCTTACTTTACGCCGCACCCGCTCTTCTTGTCTCAAAACCTTACATGTAAAAACCGCCCCTAACCTATGCAGCCCTGCACAGAAACTGTAACTTTGTAAGAAGAGCAGAAAGACCCCCGGATTAGAGAGGGTTTATCCCGTTATCTCCCAGTTGCAGCCTAAATCCCACTCAATTCACCACCCCGCTTCATGATTTTCTTTCCTCCAAGTGATTTCTGGTTTGCACAAAGTTTTTCTTTTTAGAAAGAACACCTAATTAGGCGATTTAAATGAGGCTCTCACAAGCCTTTGTAGATGCAAAACACAGAGGTGCCTCTTAACTCGGGGCAGTGTTAGTGTTCACCGGCTTGCGTTTTAATTTTAGAGCATTGATGAACTGATCGAGAAGACGGTCCCTGCCAGCATCCGCTTGAAGAGACCCTTGAAAATGGAAGACCCTATTTGTAAGTGGCCTTGGGGGTCTCTCTTGAGTTCCGCCTGCTCAGGCCTATTCGCCTTCTGTAAATCTCTGAAGATCCAGCTCTGGGGTAGGATTGCTCGAAACTGGAAATATGTTGACTAGAATGAAACAGTGGCGGTTACCTTGGAGGCCGCGAGAGAGTGGGATGGTTGGTTCCGGGAGACACAGCTGCTTTCTAAGTCTTTATCCTAGGGCCCAGCTAGGCATGTGTAAGACTCCCCACTTCCCAAGCACTCCCAAGTGCAGGGTTCTTCCCTCCTTAGTGTTAAGAGTTGTCATCTCCTCTTTGCAGATTAGGATAAACTCAGAAAGGAAAAGGGAATTGCCTGAAATCAAGCCAACTAGGGAAGAAACAGACATGGGAGGAGACCCAGACTTCGCCCCTCCCCAGCCCAAGGTTCTGTATATCACAGTAGCTTCAAGTAGTCAGAGTTGGGGTATCCAGATTTTGTTACTTACATACTGAAAGGCAGCAGGACTTTTCAAGTCCCATCGATTTTTCTAAGAAAAACAAGATTCATGCTTGGCCACAAAAGCTCAGTTTACTCATAGATTTTCTTGGAATTTTATATTTGAGATGTTTTTAATGGTCTAAAGATTGCTCTTCAGAAGTATTTTTATGAGGGTATTTGACTTCCTTGGAATGAGGGAAGAATCTACAAATCAATGTCACAGGCAGAGCTGAAGAGCTCCTATAAAAAAACGAGGGTGGGCCTGGGGATTTCACCTAGTCATCTCATTTTCAATCAAGGAGATACTTGCTCTTTTACTTCTTGGAGTAAAGTGAAGAGACAGGAGCTGTTTAATTTCTGTGATAGGAAAGAATTATTGAGTGCAAGCTTTGTTTTGTTTTAAAGTAGGTGACTTGAGGTATGGAACCTGCCCCCACACCATTGGCTAATTCTGTACCTCAAGCTGTGCTGAGGACCATTGCTCTTGTTATTTTCAAATCTGCTGGCAGAGAACTCACTCATAAAAGAAAGTCTGCACCTTTTGTTGAATTAAATGGATTAATACCTAGAACTAGCTGGAAGCTTTATCTATTTCAATTTCAGGAAATCAGAATTCTGATTCATTGTGTGAAAAGTGAAGGGTTGTATATTGTGAGCCTTAGGTGAGTATTTGAACAAATGAATGCCTTCCTGAGACTTTCAAAGTCAGAATGTTTAAGTTGTTGTTATTATTATTTCTTACAATGTAATCTGAAATAAGATGTTCTTTTAAGAGCATCAAAACCTGGGAAAATACATCAAAGTTGTCCATTCTTTTTTCAGCTACTTGGTTCTGCTGAGTAATTTGGCCATCAGGTGATTCCTGTTTCTCCTCTCTTTTGGAAGCAGACTCATAAGTACTTTGCAACTTGAGTGTAAACTTTAAACCTAGAAGCTTCTGTGTCATTTTGGTTTGGTTCTATCTGGTTAGTCTGAGGTGACTCAGAAAATATTGCACAGTCAGGAGTCCCCTGTGCCCTGAAATGGGCAGGCTCTTCAGCAAAGCTTGCTTCTTGGAATAGTGAGCAGAGGGTAGGGAGGATGCCTTTGCAAGACATGAATTTTTTACTCTGATGTGTGCTCATGTTATGGCTAATGAATGTTTTCTACATAGTGGGAGTAAATTGGTCCAGGTAACCTCTGTTAGCAGCATTTCCATTTAATAATGGAGCAGCATTATCCAAACTTGGTTTCATGTTAGTGTGCATTCTAGTGTAGTCAGAGGAATTCTGGACCAAGTTTTTGCCTTGTCCAAAGATAACTGTAGGAAGAGCGAATTATAGGAGTTTTTTGTTTGTTTGTTTGTTTGTTTTTAAAGAGAGAGGGAGAGAGAGAGAGAGATTTTTTTTTTAATATTTATTTTTCAGTTCTTGGCGGACACAACATCTTTGTATGTGGTGCTGAGGATCGAACCCAGGCTGCATGCATGCCATGCCAGGCGAGCGCGCTACCACTTGAGCCACATCCCCAACCCGAATTATAGGAGTTTTAAATTCCCTCACTGCTGACTAAAAAGATTGTGGAAGTTGTAAGTGGTATGGAGATACTTGGGTTAGTTTTTATGCATAACTGAATAATCTCAAACATTTATGTAGTGCTTATCATATGCTGTATACTGCTTTACATTGCTTGTCAGCTGGGCATGGTGGTGTTTGCCTTTAACAATTCAGTGACTCAGGAGGCTGAGGCAGGAGGATCCATACAACTTAGTGAAACATTGTTTCAAGATAAAATTTGAAAAGGGCTAGGGATGTAGCTCAGTGCTAAAGTGCCCTTAGGTTCAATTCCTGGTACTCCACCCCAAATAAAGAGCTTTCCATGTATTATTATTATTATTAGTTTTATTTTTTATTTTTAAGTATTTATTTCTTTAGTTTTTAGGTGGACACAGTATCTTTATTTTACATTTATGTGGTGTTGAGAACCGAACCCAGTGCCTCACACACTCTAGGTGAGCGTGCTACCAATTGAGCCACATCCCCAGCCCCATGTTATTATTATTTTGTTAATTGTACTTTTATTTATTTATTTTTATGTGGTGCTGAGGATCGAACCCAGTGCCTCATGTGCTAGGCAAGCGCTCTATCACTGAGCTACATCTGCAATCCCTCATGTATTATTATTTGATCCTTATTATAACCCTATAAGGTAAGCAGGGTTATTTTCTATCCCTGCTTTCTTTCTTTCTCTTCTTATCTTTTTTTTTTTTTTTTGAGGCTGGTATCTGACTCATGGACTCAACTGATTCTCCCACCTCAAGTATCTGGGACCATAGGCATGTGCCACCAAGCCCAGATGTTGTCTCCCTTTTCAAAAGGTAGAAACCAGGGTATACAGAGAATATGTAACTTGCCCAAGGTCACAGCCTGTGACCCGTTTGGAGGCAAAATACAAACCCAGATCCACCGCTCTCACTCCAACCACTACTCTGTATTGTCTTCATGGTGCCCTATGCAAAGTAGAAAACTCCTGCCCTGACTCTTCTGAAGTACCTCGTTTACAGAAATGCACAAACTCAGTCACAGAGGAATTACTATACCATATACGTCAACACCTCCAGTGGAAATGAGTTAGTACACTGAGGAGACAGGTGTGAGAGCACCCAGGCCAAACACCTAGGTGATTGAAGTATAGGCTAAGTAGTGAAGGAGCCATGATGCTGTGCTGGAAAATCCTGGAGGAGACTGCTTCGGGTAGAGGGACCAGCACTTACAGGACAGAGAAGCCTGTCAATATTGGGGAAGTACAGGTGGTTCGATCAGTCAGGAGGCATGGACCTTTCCTTAGACACTTGAGAAATGCTTTGAAAAAATGTTTTATCAACTGGACTATTAGTCATTATAAAGAGAAACAAGCAAAGTCACTCAGATCAAAACCCTATCAGTTTAATCCTATTCAGGTAAATTTCCCTCTCCTAATCATAGATGCTCCTCACCCCCCAAAACAAAACAAAAGAAAAAAATGAGAAGAATATATTTCAATGGGAACATTGGGTTCTCTTGTGTCATCATTTGTGATTTTAGCTTTTCATTTTTTTTTTGCACTTTCTGCCATACCATATATTTATTTTGTAATTAATACAAAGTTAACTTTTTTCTTTTGGTTCAGAACTGGAGCTATATCTACATCTCCAGTTCTCTTTATAACTAAATTGATCCTGAACTCGCAATCCTATTGCCTGAATCCCTCAGGTTGTTGGGAATACAGGTGTGTGCCACTGTACCTGGCTAATTAATACAAAATTTAAAATGCTTTGTTAACCAAGCCAGTCCCTTTTAGCCACAGTGTGCCTCGCTGTGCAGTGTTTTCAGTGGAGTCATCTCCAAATAGCCAGATTGAACTAGACTGAACTAACCTTACAAAATCTGAAGGGATTAAAGTTTACGCAAAACTGCATTGCTTATCATGCATGGGCAACTTGGAAAGAGAGCAAAGAGACTAAATTCCCTAATGTTCAAATTATTGAGCTAGAGCTAAGGAGCTGAGTTGTTGGAATGAGACATATGATAGACGTTCTAATCACTTTAGAGTGATTTTTAATAAATGGTTAATGAGGGCAGTGGCCAGAGGGAAGGGCCATTATGTAATGCAGCTGCAGGTGGTGACTTCTTCACTCCAGTTGGGTTGGATGTGAGTTTTGGCCAAAGGGCAAGCTTCAGAGTGGTAAAAGGGAAGGCTGCAGGAATGGCCCTGCCGCAGGAGGGCAAACTAGAAGTAGAATATCCAAAGTGATTGGTTAGGGGTGTATATTTGGCTTTGTCTGGTTGGTCCAAACTTGGAAGTGGGAAAAAATTAGGGAAGTTGCCAGTTATTAATCAAGTCCTGACCATTTTCAAACTATTGTTATGGAAGTTTTTGCTCAGTTCCTGGATTGTAATTAGGGATAGCAATCTGGTTTTCTGGAAAAGATAATTTACAGTAGGCTATCTTCCTGGATTTTTTGTAGATAAGATTTTTAGTTTATGTACAAATTATGGGTGAGAGTTCTGTTTTGAAATATGGGCAGGCTGATGCTTATCAGTTCCTCCACAACAGAATTTATCTTATGCTTTTGTCATTAATTCTTTTTTGGGGGGTGGTTGGGTACTAGGGCTTAAACCCAGGGGTGATCTGCCACTGAGCTACATCTCCAGTCTTTTCTTTTTTTTAAATTTTGAGACAGAGTCTCACTAAGTGGCCCAGGCTAGCCTTAAACTTGTGATCCTCCTGCCTCAGTCACCCAAATTGTTGGGATTATAGTATGCATCACCACACCCAGCTTGTCATTAATTCTTTTTTTGTTTTTATTTAAGTTTGTTCTAATTAGTTATACATGGCAGCAGAATGCATTTCATTTCATTGTACACAAATGAAACACAACTTTTCATTTCTCTGGTACATGGTGTAGTGTCACACCATTTGTGCAATCATATATGTACCTAGGGTAAAGATGTCTTTCTCATTCCACCATCTTTCCTACCCCCATCCTGCTCGACTCCCCTCATTCCCCTTT